AACCAAAAGATTCACAAGAAGTTAAAACTGCTGAAAGCAATGCAATTATAGAAAAAAATAAAGGGCATGAATTCCTAGTCCAACTAAACATCCAGGGCAAATTAGCCCTCAGGAAGGCGTTATCCCAACTTTAATCCATTGTGTTGGAAGCGAAAGAGATTCTGTTTCCATGCTCATGCTTGTGTTTTTTCGTGCATATGACATAATGCTCATAAAGATTCCAGCTAGCCTTTATGTTATGAAAATCATTGCCACGGAAAGTTTCTTTGACAGGCAATTTAAGGTTTATTCTTTATCTAAGCGTTCCTTGTGCTTACAACCAGATCGAATTTAAAGCATCTGGTTGGCACTAGTGTCAAGATTAGCCTTCTATCTTCTTCAACTAGAAATATGATATGGATATGGTATTAAAGAATTGCATAATTATTTGGTTACCAAAAGCTTTGTAAATGGGCTTTCCTCACAGTTAGTTTGCCTTAAGTCATTTTTGGGTTCGATTTCTCGAGAGTTAACCAACTTTGCGGAGATACTGTGAAGAACCGAATAATCACTGAAGTATCTAATAGGCGGACTGACGCCAAACCGGCTCCAGACTACTCCCTTAATTAGGTAGTCTGAAGGGAAAGTTCCACATGGAATGAATCTTTTAGAAATTTCCTATTTTTAGCTAAATGCTCATAAAAAGGCAATTCCTTATATTGGCATATCACAAACCTGTTTTTGTATCATTTACGAGCGCTTTAGATAAGTAATCACCGCGCGAGACCCATAATCTGGATTATTTTTTAAAATTTACCACCTATACTTGCCAGACAAGGAGTATAGACAACGTTTTCACCAATGTTATGCCTTTTATTTATCATATTACCATCTTCGCAATCGCCGATAGTGACTACAAAACCATGGTGCAGACGCAGAATATTAAACACATTCATGTGACTTTTTGAAACTGGCCAAAATTGAGTAAGTCACAGGCGGGCATCTCAGAGGATTGAAACTATGGCGTGACTTATCTACAGGAAAATACTGACCTGTATTACCATATTTCTTGCGGAAGAGGATGATCCGAATCACTCACGCTCTGGCGCACCACAGCATACGATTCTCAAAAAAGCTTATTGCTGACTATTTTTGCTGGCCTAGCAATCAAGTAGATAGCGACAAGCAAAAATAAGCCAATATAGTGTATTAAGTAAACAAAGTACGCAGATACACAAAGACTCCGACCGGTACTTAAGATTCTGTCTCAAAAAGGCTCACGTAAATAGTGTGCATACTCTGCCTTTTTCCAAGAAAAATCACCACTCATAGTTTTGGACCGATTTACACGATGGCCCGAGATCATAACAATTTCAGCTATGCTGATAGAAGCCGTTGTCAAAGATTTTGTGACACATTAGTCTCTAGGTTTGGCACACTAGCAATCATCACGATCGGCAGATGCAAGCAGATCGATAGAAATTTGTTCGTCCAACTGTCAAAGCTATTATGAACGGAAAGGATCCATACTTGTGCACGGCATCCGCAAACTAACAGTTGATAGAACATTCCATCATAATCTAAAGGCTTACTTAAGGCGCTGGAGGAGTCCTAATTGTTGGATACACAATCTACCATTAATAGGGCTTCACCTATGAACCACAATAAAAGTAGATACAGGTTGTAGCCTAGTAGAGGCGATCTGCTAATTCCAACTAAGCATATCCAAGTATTTCATTGCCAATACAAACATTTGATCCCAATCATTTGGTTACGTAGTGGAATATGTTCTATATCATATAAGTAATCTCCACGTAGGCCTGCAGTGCTTTAATGCCCTAAATCATAGAGTATTTGGTATAGCCGCCACTATCAAAACTCTACACTGACCTCCTTTGTGTCATCTCTAAAGGCAACAAAAACTTCACTTTGCAGATAAAAGATCATCAGGCTGACTCAAGCCAGCCACAATTTACGACGCGGTGCCCATCAGAATCACATGAATCACATCGCAATAACCAAATTGTTTCTCATTATGAAATTATCCTCGTTATAGTGCATTGCATCTTACAAAAGGCATTCTATTACTTAACATAAAGAATGCTTTTAACATTAATC